GCATACGCTTTAGCACTCCCCATGTGAATGAGGCTCTAGTACAGGGGTGGGCAAACTTTTTGACTTGAGGGCCGCAATGGGTTCATATATTGGACCCGGGGGCCGGACCAAGAGTAGATAAATGATGTGTATGTGTCATCCATAGTAAGTATAGTAATATTCCCCCATAGTAAGCATAGTAATTAATCCCCCATATAGTAATTCATCCCCCATAGTAATTCATCCCCCATATAGTAATTCATCCCCCATAGTAATTCATCCCCCATATAGTAATTCATCCCCCATATAGTAATTCATCCCCCATAGTAATTCATCCCCCATATAGTAATCCATCCCCCCTATAGTAATTCATCCCCCATAGTAATTCATCCCCCATATAGTAATTCATTCCCCATATTAATTCATCCCCCATAGTACTATTCCCCCCCAAGTAGTAAGCCAAGTCCCCCCTGTGTCAATTCACTTACCTTTGCTCCGCACGTTCCTCTCGCCGTGTTCCTGCGCCGTTCCGGTCTTCAGGGCGGACTGTGAGAGGAGCCTAGCTCCCCTCACGTTCGTCACGCTGCCCCACCTACACACATCCTGACAGCCAATGTATCCCGCGCCGTTCCGGTCTTCAGGGCGGACTGTGAGAGGAGCTTAGCTCCCCTCACGTTCATCACGCTGCCCCGCCTACACACATCCTGACAGCCAATGTATCACGCTCCGCGGGCCGGATTAAAAGGTCCGCCGGGCTGTAGTTTGCCCATTGCTGCTCTAGTAGAAATTTAGCAGGAATGTTGCGTTTATGTGTGCTAATAATGATTTTAGTTTTTTTTTTTAGCGAAAATATTGTTTTGATAAACAGTTGCACAAATATCGTGGGGCCTAAAAAATCAGTAGCACCTTTTTTTTATTCCATGGTTCATGTGCTTTCAGAAAAATATATGGTTTGGTGGGGCGGTCTTTTACAAACTCTGAAAGGTGTGCATGAAAAATAAAAACCTCCAGATTTTTTGAGAAATTTGGTTATTTAAAGTCCTGCATACATTCAATTTTCACCATGTCACAAAAAAGTGCAATTAAAAATTTACAAATAATTAATATTTATTAAATCAATACAGATTAAGCTTTTATATTTAGTAGGAATTAACAGGAATTTTGTAAAATTTGCTGGGTTGGTATCGGCTAATAATGATTTTAGTGTATTTTTAAAGAAAATGTTGTTTTGATAAACATTTGCGCAAATATCACGGGGCCCTGAAAATCATTAGTACCTTCTTTTTATTGTACTGGTCATGTGCTTTCAGAAAATATATGGTTTGGGGGGTCTTTTACAAACTCCATGCCCCGTAAACACGATAAGAAAATCGTACGAAAAAATTTGCGGAACCACTGATCGAACGATTTTCTCTTCGTTGATGAGCAGGATGTTTTAACCAATAACGATATTGTGAACGAAAAAATCCAGTTGCACAACAGTGAAAAATGTTGTCGTTTCGCATACGAAAGACCGATTTTCTATGCGGTGGTACTACGGTCGTACGAAAATAATCTATCAAGCGCTATCACGCATGAGCAGAAACAGAAGATGACCCGGATGTGCATGTCCAAGGAATCTTCGTAAACACAAACAAAAAATCCAAATGTTAAAAGTAGATTGGCCTAATGAGATAATGAAACCAGAATTCTGCAGATTATATTTTATGTATCACTATTTATGTATACAGGTCATGTAATAGACAATATTATACTCATTGCTGGGAATTGTTGTGTATATCGCTCGTTCTGGCCGGAAGGGCGTGGCTACAAGGTCACATGCACACCGCATCACTTCCACTTGTATGGAAGACGTCAACACTACGTATTGCCCGACCAACAATTTTTTTACATTGGTTAATGTGGGGCACGATTTCGACCAATGACCGAACGCCTCTCGGTCGTCGGATGACCAATCGGTCAATTTTCTAATCGTGTATTCCCACCTTTAAACTGGTGGACAGACCATTTTTGTAAATTTTCCATTGCTTTTTTATTTTTCCATTACAGCTTTCAAAATGGAGCACAGGGCCTGGCAGCGAAAGAGATAAAAGTCATAAAAGGTTTGCTTTAGGCCTCATGTACACATGAACTCCTCTGGATGTTAAGTTCTCCTGGCAGCAGAAAAAACGCTAAACGTGGCAAAAACGCGAGTAAAAATTCCAAGTGATAAACGCAGCTAGCGTTTAGACCAGTTTACATGTGTTTTTACTGCGTTTAGCGGTTTTTGGCCAAAACGTTCCTCTCCTGAATATGATTCTTCTGCTTTCAGCGAAGAACGTTTAACTGCCCCTAAACTCTGCTGCTCCTTAACTCCGGTAAAAGCCTATGGGGGAGATTTATTAAACTGGAGGGTGCAAAATCTGGTGCAGCTCTGTATAGAAACCAATCAGCTTCCAGCTTTTTGTCAAAGCTTAAAGCGGAGTTCCAGCCATTTAATTAATTATTTTCTAAAAAGACACTCACATGAGAGTGGCAGCTTAGGCAATGCAAGTTGAGATCACCTATACTTGTAATCCTTTGCTTTCCTTATAAAAAATAAAATTACTTACTGCACCCTCATATTGTGAACGGGCTGTCATCTTAAGTGTGGGCACCTGAAGCCTGCTCAGACTTTCTTCCGGGAAATTGTGCTGCTGGCTACCCAGCATGCACTTCCCGTTCTCGCTCCTGCGCAGTGTGAAGAAGGAGCGGCACTTTCTCGTGCCTGCGCCGTGTGAAGAAGGCACTGCACTTTCTAGCGCCTGCGCCGTGTGAAGAAGGTGCGGCATTTCTAGCGCCTGCGCAGTGTGAAGAAGGTGCGGCATTTCTAGCGCCTGCGCAGTGTGAAGAAGGTGCGGCATTTCTAGCGCCTGCGCAGTGTGAAGAAGGTGCGGCATTTCTAGCGCCTGCGCAGTGTGAAGAAGGTGCGGCACTTTCTAGCGCCTGCGCAGTGTGAAGAAGGTGCGGCACTTTCTAGCGCCTGCGCAGTGTGAAGAAGGTGCGGCACTTTCTAGCGCCTGCGCAGTGTGAAGAAGGTGCGGCACTTTCTAGCGCCTGCGCAGTGTGAAGAAGGTGCGGCACTTTCTAGAGCCTGCGCAGTGTGAAGAAGGCGCGGTTCCTTCTAGCGCCTGCGCAGTGTGAAGAAGGTGCGGCACTTTCTCGTGCCTGCGCAGTGTGAAGAAGGCGCGGCACTTTCTAGCACCTGCACATAGTGAGGAAGGCGCGGTTCTTTCTAGTGCCTGCGCAGTGTGAATAAGGCGCAGTCTTTCTAGCGCCTGCGCAGTATGAAGAAGGTGTGGTTCTTTCTAGCGCCTGCGCAGTGTGCAGAAGGCACGGCACTTTCTAGTGCCTGCGCAGTGTGAGGAAGGTGCAGTTCTTTCTAGTGCCTGCGCAGTGTGAGGAAGGTGCGGTTCTTTTCTAGTGGCTGCGCAGTGTGAAGAAGACGCTGTTCTTTCTAGCGCCTGCGCAGTGTGAGAAAGGTGCAGTTATTTCTAGCGCCTGCGCAGTGTGCAGAAGGCACGGCACTTTCTAGTGCCTGCGCAGTGTGAGGAAGGTGCAGTTCTTTCTAGTGGCTGCGCAGTGTGAAGAAGACGCTGTTCTTTCTAGCGCCTGCGCAGTGTGAGGAAGGTGCGGTTCTTTCTAGCGCCTGCGCAGTGTGAGGAAGGCGCAGTTATTTCTAGCGCCTGCGCAGTGTGCAGAAGGAACGGCACTTTCTAGTGCCTGCGCAGTGTGAGGAAGGTGCAGTTCTTTCTAGTGCCTGCGCAGTGTGAGGAAGGTGCGGTTCTTTCTAGCACCAGCGCAGTGTGAAGAAGGTGCAGTTCTTTCTAGCGCCTGCGCAGTGTGAGGAAGGTGCGGTTCTTTCTAGTGCCTGCGCAGTGTGAAGAAGACGCTGTTCTTTCTAGCGCCTGCGCAGTGTGAGGAAGGTGCGGTTCTTTCTAGCGCCTGCGCAGTGTGAGGAAGGTGCGGTTCTTTCTAGCGCCTGCGCAGTGTGAGGAAGGTGCGGTTCTTTCTAGTGCCTGCGCAGTGTGAAGAAGACGCTGTTCTTTCTAGCGCCTGCGCAGTGTGAAGAAGGCGTGGTTCTTTCTAGCGCCTGCGCAGTGTGAAGAAGGCTCGGCACTTTCTAGCGCCTGCGCAGTGTGAAGAAGGCTCGGCACTTTCTAGCACCTGCGCAGTGTGAAGAAGGCTCGGCACTTTCTTGTGCCTTAACAGTGTGAAGAAGGCTCGGCACTTTCTCACGCCTGCGCAGTGTGAGGAAGGTGCAGTTCTTTCTAGTGCCTGCGCAGTGTGAAGAAGGCGCAGTTCTTTCTAGCGCCTGCGCAGTGTGAAGAAGGCGCGGCACTTTCTAGCGCCTGCACAGTGTGAACAAGGAGCAATCTTGCACCTGCGCAGTGTGAAGAAATCCCCGCTGTCGCGTCACTTCCAGTCTCATAATAACACAAGATTTTGGTATTAGGCATTCCCTAGGACTGCTGGGATAGATGACGCCGATATCACAGAAGCCTTTGGGAATGCCTGATGATGTAATCACCTAGGCGGCCGGGACAGGAAGTGGAGACAGAAATGATCAATTAAAGGTATTTAGGAAAAAAATATACATATATATATACATTGCCAAAATGGACTGTGAAAAGAGAGACCATTGTCTATCAGGGGAGAAAAAAAAAAGGCTGGAACTCCGCTGAAGGTAAAGCAGGATTGGCTTCCATGCACATCTGCACCAGATTCTGAGTGCACCAGTTTTAGTAAATCCCCCCGTGTGTACATGAACACAGAGGCTTTTACCGAGTTGAGTTCAGGGGTTTTGGCAAATAGACACCAAAAGCTCCAAAAGTCACGTGTAGGAGCGACAGCATAGTGAGGCCTTAAACATGACGCTGTCAAAAAACACAGAAACTTTTTTTAAAGGAAGAACAAAGTACAGTGTCTACCGCCCTGTCCTTCACGAAGCTATATTCTTAGACAAGCTTTAGGAATGTGGAATATATACCACATCTACCTACCTCTTGTGGAGTTCCATGTACTGGCAGTGCCTGACTCTGACTTGTCTTTAGTGGAGAGCTGTCACTCTGCAACACAAGACAATATCCATGTAATACTGCAAAAATAACCCCCTGTACCTAACAAGAGTTCTTAGTCTTCATTTCAAATTCATAGTGAAATCTCAATTCATAACATCTTCAGACAGCAGTAATAGGACTTAAATCTAAAAGGCAAGGAGCCGGTAAACAAGAACTGAAACTTGAGGTTTAAATAGAAACTTCTGGTGAATTATCTGAAAGTATACATAGGCGGGATTCTCATTCAAACCTAATGCAGTTTTATATGCGTCATCAACAGATTTGTAACTTATGTTGTCATTTGCTGCCACAATTCAAGGCATGGTATATTTTTCAATAGTTACATTGTTCCATGCTGGACCAATGTAACTATGTACACTCACTGGCCACTTTATTAGGTACGCCTGTTCAATTGCTTGGTAACGCAAATTGCTAATCAGCCAATGGCATGAAAGCAACTTGGTGCATTTAGGCATCTAGACGTGGTGAAGACGACTTGCTGAAGTTCAAACTAAACATCAGAAAGAGGATTTAAGTGACTTTGAATGTGGCATGGTTGTTGGTGCCAAACGGTTGGGTCTGAGTATTTCATGAACTGCTTATCTACTGGGATTTTCATGCACAACCATCTCCGGGGTTTACAGAGAATGGTCCGAAAAAAGAGAAATTATCCAGCGAGTGGCAGTTGTGCCTTGTTGATGTCAGAGGAGAATGGGCAGACTGGATGCTGTGACATTCAGATGGTAGGGTCAGAATTTGGTGTAAACAACATGGATCCATCCTGCCTTGTTTCAGTGGTTCAGGATGGTGGTGTAATGGTATGGGGAATATTTTCTTAGCACTAGCAAGGTGTACCCAATAAAGTGGCTGGTCAGTGTATATACCATATCTGGCTGATGTCCCTGGAAGCTCGAAATCACTGAAGTGGACACCACTACTCCAATGATCTCCGTTAGCGTCCGGGTGTCGTGCTGCTGATGCATTGTGAACACAGGAAGTCAGCCACTCGGAAAATGCTTTGCACTTTCTGAATGAACTCAAGGCTTTCTCTGATTGGACAAGGTGAATGGTGCCCGCATTCCGCATAACAATTTATCAGGTCAGCCACTCAAAGAGGGACCCTGAAACAAGTGGAGATCACTGAAGTAGCAATGTCCAGCTTCCAGGGGCACCAGCCAGCAATGGGATACACATAGCTGAACAATTACAACTATGCAAAAATATACCATGCCTGGAATTCATCTTGACACATCCAAAAAATAGACATGAAATTTTTCAGCCAAAGTATGTTGCATTGACGTGAACCAACACTATGTAAAACGCTGACTAACGTGTGCATTCACTACTGTGTGGTAATACGCAAGCGTTAAAAAAGCATTAAAATGGCCCTATAAAGAAACTAATCCTAAATACCGTATTTTTCACTCCATAAGACGCACTTTTTTCCCCCCAAAAGAATGGGGGGAAATGTCTGTGTCATATGGAGCAGCCGGCCCAGTATCCCCGCCGCTGCTGTTAGAATACCGGGCCGGCCGATTGGCTCATCTGTGCAGCAGAACATGCACCTCGGTCCTACGGTGTCCTCGCCGTCTTCTCTCCCGGGCGCCGGAATATTTAGTATGGGCACCTGGCTATGACAGCTTACAGCTTCACAGCCGGGTGCCCACTGTGCATGCGCGAGAGGCATGTCACGTGTCCCAAAACATGGAGAGGGAGGACAACTTCACGGAAGTGGGAGCGGGTATCTGTCAAATTCAGGTACCCGCTCCCCCCCCCCCTGATCCCCAAAGGTCTGCAGTCTCTGGGCATCTCCTGTACTGTGTCCGCAGTCTCTGGTCATCTCCTGTACTATGTCCACAGTCTCTGGTCGGTCATCTCCTGTACTGTGTCCACAGTCTCTGGTCATCTCCTGTACTATGTCCGCAGTCTCTGGGCATCTCTTGTACTGTGTCCGCAGTCTCTGGTCATCCCCTGTACCGTGTCCGCAGTCTCTGTTCATGTTCTGTACTATGTCCGCAGTCTTTGGTCATCTCCTGTACTGTGTCCGCAGTCTCTGGGCATCTCCTGTACTATGTCCGCAGTCTCTGGTCATCCCCTGTACCGTGTCCGCAGTCTCTGTTCATGTTCTGTACTATGTCCGCAGTCTTTGGTCATCTCCTGCACTGTGTCGGCAGTCTCTGGTCATCTCCTGTACTGTGTCCGCAGTCTCTGGGCATCTCCTGTACTATGTCCGCAGTCTCTGGGCATCTCCTGCACTATGTCCACAGTCTCTGGGCATCTCCTGTACTGTGTCCGCAGTCTCTGGGCATCTCCTGTACCGTGTCCGCAGTCTCTGGTCATCTCCTGTACCGTGTCCGCAGTCTCTGGTCAACTTCTGTACCGTGTCCTCAGTCTCTGGTCATCTCCTGCACTGTGTCCGCAGTCTCTGGTCATCTCCTGTACTGTGTCCACAGTCTCTGGTCATCTCCTGTACTGTGTCCGCAGTCTCTGGCCATCTTCTGTACTATGTCCGCAGTCTCTGGTCATCTCCTGTACTGTGTCCGCAGTCTCTGGTCATCTCCTGTACTGTGTCCGCAGCCTCTGGTCTTCTCCTGTACTGTGTCTGCAGTCTCTGGTCGGTCATCTCCTGTACTGTGTCCGCAGTCTCTGGTCATCTCCTGTACTATGTCCGCAGTCTCTGGGCATCTCTTGTATCGTGTCCGCAGTCTCAGGTCATCCCCTGTACTGTGTCCGCAGTCTCTGTTCATGTTCTGTACTATGTCCGCAGTCTTTGGTCATCTCCTGCACTGTGTCCGCAGTCTCTAGGCATCTCCTGCAGTATGTCCGCAGTCTCTGGTCACTTCCTGTACTGTGTCCGCAGTCTCTGGGCATCTCCTGTACTGTGTCTGCAGTCTCTGGGCATCTCCTGTACTGTGTCCGCAGTCTCTGGGCATCTCCTGTACTGTGTCCGCAGTCTCTGGGCATCTCCTGTACTGTGTCTGCAGTCTCTGGGCATCTCCTGTACTGTGTCCGCAGTCTCTGGTCATCTCCTGTACTGTGTCCGCAGTCTCTGGGCATCTCCTGTACTGTGTCTGCAGTCTCTGGGCATCTCCTGTACTGTGTCCGCAGTCTCTGGGCATCTCCTGTACCGTGTCCGCAGTCTCTGGGCATCTCCTGTACTGTGTCCGCAGTCTCTGGGTATCTCCTGCACTATGTCCGCAGTCTCTGGTCATTTCCTGTACTGTGTCCGCAGTCCATTGGTTCAGAATATTTTTTTTCTTGTTTTCCTCCTCTAAACCCTAGGTGCGTCTTATGGTCAGGTGCGTCATATGGGGCACGGTAATTCTCTCCCTCCCCATTCCGATGCCACTCAGAGCTCCAGTCCTCTTATCAGCCAGTAGGGCTGTGCAGTTGTACGCATGAAAAGCTTTTGTCCATACACATCAAGGAAAAGCTGTCTTCTTGTAAGCCTGCAGGTTGACAACTTCTCTATACAGGATTTTGGAGAATAGGTCATATATGTGCAGTGCCATGTGTGCCCACTAGCTCCAAGAGTGCTGTTTGGCCTGACATAGGCTGCCACTTCTGGACCAAGTCACCCGCTGATTTGAGCAGAGTCCATGGGGTATAACTAGAATGGGAAGGCTCTTAAGGTCAGAGACATCCAGTCGACTATCAGCTTCAGTAGATCAGCATTGGCAGATCTATGTTTTCTCCTTCTAAAGATTTCCTATAAAATAGGGTGGGCAGTACTTACCTCAGTTGGGGAGTGTGCTGTCTGCTGCACCGTGTGAACTGCGAGAGAGACTTGTGCTGCCTTGGTGCCCTGCGGAGTGCTCTGCACCACCAGACGCTAACACAGAAAGGAAAAAAAAAAAAACAGTATGAGATCCAAATCAATTACATTTCCTACATCTACAGACATATAGGAATAGAAGAACAATGTAATGGAAAATCTATGTATGACTCTACTAGATGAGATGTCACTACAACAATGCATGCTGGGTACTATGTCAATCTATATGTTCCCAATAAGGCCACAAATCTGGATCAGGAAAAGTCTCCCATCCTGTTGCAGCATAACACACACAATGACAAATGAACCATGATGACCAAGACGGACCGAGATAATAAACAGGCTGATTTTTTTTAAGGTAGAGCAAAGAGGAAAGATGGAGCAGTAAACTGTAGCAGCCAATTAGATTTCAGTTTGCTGGCATGTGGAAAATGAATCCTGATTGGTTGCTGTAACTTATTTAATAAGCTTGGAGGACATTATGACAATGGGGCCTACAGACACAGATAACGGAGACTAGTGTCAGCATGGTGACATACTTGCTGAGCTAGCTGCAGAGGGGACACGGCAGTTACTTTAGGCTGGACCCTGGCTTGTACCAGCAGTCTCTGTAGTGTAAAGGCAGAGCCGGCATTGGAGAAAGGAAAACAGCATGTAAGAAAAAGTCCAAAGGAAGACATGTAACACAAATTAAACTGAACCTAGACAGTAGATTTAATTTTGTGAGCTTAATTACAGTAAACCTCACCTGGCCTTAAACGAAGAATTCCAAGCAAACATTACATTTTCCCATGCTGTGGGGCTGTGCCTATGTCTAGGGTTTCAGAAAGCAGAGATATACTTATCTAATCCGCTGATGCTCCGAGTGCAAGACCAGTCCCTGCCACTCCTGTCCCCCCCTCCACGCTAGCAGTCTTGTGAATGGGCTGTTCCTGCCGTCATCACGCCCATAGACTGGCTCTGGACATGAGGGCTGTAGGAACAGTCCACCGCTGGATGTGGGGGAGCGTGGTTTTCTGGATAATCGAAGGACGTGGGGGAGTGTGGTTTTTTGGAGAATCGAAGGACGGGGTAAGTATAGCTTTTCCCTGAGCCCCTGGACTGAACGAGCAGTTAACCCATGCAGTGCGGACACAGACTCACTGCATGGGAAAATACAAATTTGACGGGAGTTCAGCTTTAAATGTTACAGCCCCCGGTGCCTGAAACATGTTAAATTTAAAACCATGTAGAATGCAGATCACAGTGCTGGCCCTTCGTTTTTCATCCTGATTTAGACACATTATAATATGTGTGTGTGTGTATGTATGTATATATATATATATATATATATATATATATATATATATATATATATATATATACACACACACACATTATATATATATATATATATATATACATATATGCATACATACATATACACACATATATGTATATATATATGTATGTGTGTGTGTATACACAGTACATGTGTATGTATGTACATTGCCTTGAAAATGTATTCATACCCCTTGAAATTTACCATATTTTGTTATGTTACAATCAGAAACATAAATGTATTTTATTGGGATTTTATGTGATACACCAGGGGTATTGAATTAAAATTCAAGGAGGTCTGGTCACTAAAATTTTCTTCTGGCTGAGGTCCTGAATAGGGTGTGCCAATCAGTGTGCCCCCTTACATTAGGTGTTGCCATCAGAGTGCAACATTACATCATGTAATGCCATCACATCAGGTGTGCCCATCAGAGTGCCCCTTTACATCAGGTATCCCCAGCACAAAGCCACCTTACATCAGGTATTCCCGGCAGAGTGTCCCCTTACACTCAAAGTACCCCTTTCCAACATATTTCCCCATGAGAGTGCCCCTTTCCATCACATGTGCCCATCAGAGTGCCCCTTTCCATCACATATGCCAATCAGACTGCCCCTTTCAATCACATATGCCAATCAGACTGCCCCTTTCAATCACATATGCCAATCAGACTGCCCCTTTCCATCACATATGCCAATCAGACTGTCCCTTTCCACAGTATGTGCCCATCAGAGAGCCCCTTAATATAAATGTGCCCGTCAAAGTTCCCCTGAACATAAAATAAGGGGCTTGCTGATGGGCACATTTTATGTTTAGGGGCACTCTGACTGGTACATTTATATTAAGGGGCACTCTGACGGGCACATATATAAAAAGGGGCACTCTGACTGGCACATTTATATTAAGGGGCACTCTGACGGGCACATTTATATTAAGGGGCACTCTGACGGGCACATTTATATTAAGGGGCACTCTGACGGGCACATTTTATGTTAAGGGACACTCTGATGGGCACATTCTATGTTGTGCCCATCAGAGTGCACCTTAACATTAAATGTGCCCATCAGAGTCCCTGTAAGACTACACCTTACTTTGAGGGCAGACAGGAGCTGTGCCGGGATCCTTGCTGAAGGATGCTTGTGCACAGGCAGGGAGCGGGAGCCGGAGAGACAGTGAGCTGCAAGGGGCGCACATGTGATGTCACGCTGCTGTGACGACTGCCCTGCTCAGCAGCCAATCTGTTATGGTGGGCTGGAGGTCCAGAAGGGAGCGCTGTGATAGACCAACACAAAATTGTACATAATTGTGAAGTGGAAGGAAAACGATAAATGGTTTGCACAATTTTTTACAAATAAATATATGAAAAGTGTGACGTGCATTTGTATTCAGCCCCCTTTACTCTGATACCCCTAACTTAAATCTGGTGGAACCAATTGCCTTCAGAAGTCACCTAGTTAGTAAAAAGAGGCCACCTGTGTGTAATTTAATCTTAGTATCAATACAGATGTTCTGTGAAGCTCGCAGAGGTTTGTTAGAGAACATTAGTGAACAAACAGCATCATGAAGGCCAAGGAACACACCAGACAGGTCAGGGATAAAGTTGTGGAGAAGTTTAAAGCAGGATTAGGGGAAAAAAAATATCCCAAGCTTTGAACATCTTGTGGAGCACTGTTCAATCCACCATCCGAAAATGCAAAGAGTATGGCACAACTGCAAACCTACCAAGACATGGCTGTCCACCTAAACTGACAGGCCGGGCAAGGAGAGCATTAATCAGAGAAGCAGCCAAGAGGCCCATGGGAACTCTGGAGGAGCTGCAGAGATCCACAGCTCAGGTGGGAGAATCTGTCCACAGGACAACTATTAGTCGTGCACTCCACAAATCTGGCCTTTATGGAAGAGTGGCAAGAAGATAGCCATTGTTGCAAGAAAGCCATAAGAGGTCCCATTTGTAGTTTGTGAGAAACCATGCGGAGGACACAGCAAACATGTGGAAGAAGGTGCTCTGGTCACATGAGACCAAAATGTAACTTTTTGGACTAAAAGCAAAATGCTATGTGTGGCAGAAAACTAACACTGCACATCACCCTGAACACACCATCTCCACCGTGAGACATGGTGGTGGCAGCATCACGTAGTGGGGATGCTTTTCTTCAGCAGGGACAGGGTTTAAGGGTGTGCACACTTATGCAACCATATTTTTTAAGTTTTTTATTTGTACTTCCCTCCACCTAAAAGATTTCAGATTGTTGTTCAACTGAGTTGTACAGTCTATAGGTTACATTGACCGCTTCCGTCTGCCCTATAACAGAAATACTGCTACAGGGAGGCAGGGGTGTGCAAAATCACGTATATATATGTGATTTTGCATTTCCGGGTAGGGGGCACGTGCGAGCCCTACCCGCGCCGCCATTTGTAGCCATGGCTGTCAATCACCGGGTCCCGACCGGTAATTACTCGCCAGCACCCAGTGATTTCCGAAGATCTTCGACGGGGAGGAGGACTGTTTTGTTTAGTAACAGTCCTCGTCCCTGTCAGCTCAGGCACACTGCTCTGGATGGCTGTGCACAGCACAACCATCCAGAGCAGTGTGATTACAGTGAAGCACCAACACACCGCCCCCTAGTAAAACACTCCCTGCACACAGTTAACCCTTTGATCGCCCCTCATGTTGACCTCTTCCTGCCCAGTGCCATTATTAGTACAGTGTCAGTGCTTTTTTTTTTTTAGCACTGGTCACTGTATTGGTGTCACTGGGGATGTCAGTGAAAACAAGCCAGTCCCCCCCCCCAGTGTCAGAATGTCCGCTCAGTCCTGAAGTCCTGTTATAAGTCTCTGATCGCCTCCATTACTAGTAAGAAAAAGAAAAGAAAAAAAAAAACAGTATTTATGCTGCTATTTGTAAACGCTAAAAATTGTCGGGCTTTTTTTTTTTTTATAGTGTGAAAAGTAAAAAATGCACAGGCAATCAAATACTATCAAGAGAAAGCTCAATTCGTGGGAAAAGAAGGATGTAAATTTCATTTGGGTGCAGCGTTGCATGACCGTGCAATTTTCAGTTAAAGTAACGCAGCACCGTAATGCAAAAAATGGCCTGGTCAGGAGGGGGGGGGGGGGGGGGTAAATCCTCAGGAGGGCAAGTGGTTAAAGGTGGAAAAAGTTCAGAAATGATTCATCTGTGTCTCATTTTTTTACGTCACAGAAACCTGACATTTTAACAGGGGTGTGTAGACTTTTTATATCCTCTGTAGCTATCCTTTCCCCCATGGCTGTCCCTACCTAGCTAGCCTTTCCCCAATCGCTATAACTACTGAGCTAGCTTTTCCCCACTGGCTGTCCCTGCTAAGGTATCCTTTCCCCAATGGCTATAACTTCTGAGCCAGCCCTTCCCCATTGGTTGTCCCTACCTAGCTATCTCCTTTTTAATAAGTCAGAAATGATAGGTGTCGGAAAATAAAAGAGTAATCTGCAAGTTGGTATCTACTGTTTACATAGTTCCATAGTTAGTCTGGCTGAAAAAAGACAAAAGTCCATCCAATTCAACCAAAAAAGAAAAATAAATAAAAAAAGTTATAATCCTACACCAGGGGTCTGCAACCTTTAAGACATAAAGAGCCACTTGGACCCGTTTCCGAGAGGGAAAAAAAGACTGGGAGCCGCAAAACCATTGCAACATTTCCGACACTGCATATATTGCAAAAAGCGCTCTGGTCATGAAGGGGGTTTAAGGGCCCAGTAAGCAAAGGGTTATTCAGGGCCACAGTGTATCATCATAATCACAATCATAGCCTAAGGTCAGTGGTGGGCAACCTTTATTTTCAACTGAGCCAAATCTCACCAAAACCACGATTGAAAATTTATTTTGAGAGAAACATTTTTAAAACTGAAAATACATCCCCCATAGTAATTCATCCCCCATATAGTAATTCATCCCCCATAGTAATTCATCCCCCATATAGTAATTCATCCCCCATATAGTAATTCATCCCCCCTATAGTAATTCATCCCCCATAGTAATTCATCCCCCATATAGTAATTCATCCCCCATATAGTAATTAATCCCCCATATAGTAATTCATCCCCCATATATTAATTCATCCCCCATAGTAATTCATCCCCCATATAGTAATTCATCCCCCATATATTAATTCATCCCCCATAGTAATTCATCCCCTATATAGTAATTCATCCCCCCTATAGTGTCAATTCACTTACCTTTGCTCCGCGCGTTCCTCTCGCTGTGTTCCCGCGCCGTTCTGGTCTTCAGGGCGGACTGTGAGAGGAGAGGAGTTCGTCACGCTGCCCCGCCTACATCCTGACAGCCAATGTTTGCCAGCGGGCGCCCGCCACACAGAAGAGCTGCATTAAAAGAGCCGCGGCTTGCCGACCCTATTGCCTGTCACCTGGTGGGCAGTGTGCTCCGGAGCCGCAGGAAAGGTGAAAAAGAGCCGCATGCGGCTCCGGAGCCGCGGGTTGCCGACACCCGTCCTACACCCACAGTTGATCCAGAAGAAGGCAAAAAACCCAGCAAAGCACGATCCAATTTGCTCCTGCAGGGGAATAAACTTCTTCCTGATCCCCCGAGAGGCAATCGGATATTCCCTGGATCAACTTTACCTATAAATATTATATCCAGTTATTATTATATTATATTATTATTATTATAATAGATATATTCCTCCAGATGTAAAGAGCGCCCCCTTGTCCTCTGTGATGACCTCAGGGTGAATAGCTCTACACCGAGTTCACTATATGAACCACTGATGTATTTATACCTGGAGATCATATCCCCCCTTATGTATTATACATGGAGATCATATCCCCCCTTATGTATTATACATGGAGATCATATCCCCCCTTATGTATTATACATGGAGATCATATCCCCCCCCTTATGTATTATACATGGAGATCATATCCCCCTTATGTATTATACATGGAGATCATATCCCCCCTTATGTATTATACATGGAGATCATATCCCCCTTATGTATTATACATGGAGATCATATCTCCCCCTTATGTATTATACATGGAGATCATATCCCCCCTTATGTATTATACATGGAGATCATATCCCCCCTTATGTATTATACATGGTGATCATATTCCCCCTTATGTATTATACATGGAGATCATATCCCCCCCTTATGTATTATACATGGAGATCATATCCCCCCCTTATGTATTATACATGGAGATCATATCCCCCTTATGTATTATACATGGAGATCATATCCCCCCTTATGTATTATACATGGAGATCATATCCCCCTTATGTATTATACATGGAGATCGTATTCCCCCTTATGTATTATACATGGAGATCATATCCCCCCTTATGTATTATACATGGAGATCGTATCCCCCTTATGTATTATACATGGAGATCATATCCCCCCTTATGTATTATACATGGAGATCATATCCCCCCTTATGTATTATACATGGAGATCATATCCCCCCTTATGTATTATACATGGAGATCATATCACCGTTATGTATTATACATGGAGATCATATCCCCCCCTTATGTATTATACATGGAGATCATATCCCCCCTTATGTATTATACATGGAGATCATATCCCCCCTTATGTATTATACATGGAGATCATATCCCCCCTTATGTATTATACATGGAGATCATATCCCCCCTTATGTATTATACATGGAGATCATATCCCCCCTTATGTATTATACATGGTGATCATATCCCCCCTTATGTATTATACATGGAGATCATATCCCCCCTTATGTATTATACATGGTGATCATATCCCCCCTTATGTATTATAAATGGAGATCATATCCCCCCCCCTTATGTTATGTATTATACATGGTTATCATATCCCCCCTTATGTATTATACATGGTGATCATATCCCCCCCTTATGTATTATACATGGAGATCATATCCCCCCCTTATGTATTATACATGGTGATCATATCCCCCCCCCTTATGTATTATACATGGAGATCGTATCCCCCCTTATGTATTATACATGGAGATCGTATCCCCCCTTATGTATTATACATGGAGATCATATCCCCCCTTATGTATTATACATGGAGATCATATCCCCCCTTATGTATTATACATGGTGATCATATCCCCCCCCCCTTATGTATTATACATGGAGATCGTATCCCCCCTTATGTATTATACATGGAGATCATATTCCCCCTTATGTATTATACATGGAGATCGTATCCCCCCTTATGTATTATACATGGAGATCATATCCCCCCTTATGTATTATACATGGAGATCATATCCCCCCTTATGTATTATACATGGAGATCATATCCCCCCTTATGTATTATACATGGAGATCGTATCCCCCTTATGTATTATACATGGAGATCATATCCCCCCTTATGTATTATACATGATGATCATATCCCCCTTATGTATTATACATGGAGATCGTATCCCCCCTTATGTATTATACATGGCGATCGTATCCCCCCTTATGTATTATACATGGCGATCGTATCCCCCCTTATGTATTATACATGGAGATCGTATCCCCCCTTATGTATTATACATGGAGATCATATCCCCCCTTATGTATTATACATGGAGATCATATCCCCCCTTATGTATTATACATGGTGATCATATCCCCCCTTATGTATTATACATGGAGATCATATCCCCCTTATGTATTATACATGGAGATCATATCCCCCCTTATGTATTATACATGGAGATCATATCCCCCCCTTATGTATTATACATGGAGATCATATCCCCCCTTATGTATTATACATGGAGATCATATCCCCCCTTATGTATTATACATGGAGATCATATCCCCCCTTATGTATTATACATGGAGATCATATCCCCCCTTAATCTCCTCTTCTCAAGAGAGAATAAATTCAGTTCCTCTAATCTTTCCTCATAGCTGATCTCCTCCGAGCCTCTTATCAGTTGTTGCCCTTCTCTGTACTTCCTCCAGTTCCCCAATGTTCTTTTTGTGAATTGGTGCCCAAAACTGAACTGCATATTCCAGATGAGGTATTACTAATGATTTGTACAGGGGTTCTCATTTGTACATTTGATTTTCTTTATTTACAAAAAGGATGTTAGTATGGATCGCAGAGTTTAGGCAAGGATGGTTCTGCAGCCTGTAAATATTACAGTATAAGGATACCTGTGTAGCTATTTACCAGATGTTTAATGCTGTTTTTGTATGATCCTTTTTTACATGTTGCCCTGATGTCCACCAAATTCTGGATATGATGCATTTACCTCTGTGGTTTTTTTTCTTTGCTGTGAAAAAATTTTAAAAACTTCCATAAACAAAACTGATTAAATAAAAAAAAAATAAAAAATCACAGGATTGGGTGGCAGGACAGGTAACTGTGCTGTTTTATAGGCATTGCTGGAAGCAACAGTGACTTTTAGGAGGCTGTGTGTTCCACAGAGGAATGGCCTTTGTGTCCTTCTCCACACTGTCTATTCAATCAACTTGCTAATAGAGACTTTGTTTTGTGAATCCTGCAGAGTTCCACTTCATCAGCTGCCAAAAGAGAGCAACCCAGCTGACTACCGAGATGCTTGGCACTGTGCAGCTTCCTTAATCACAAGCCTAGCGCCATACCTGCTGAGCAGCTTGTACTTGCTGCACCACCTGTGTTGGCACAGCGGTCTGCGGAGTAGAGGATCCTCCAGGACTCAGCTCTCCATCACTGGCTCTCATGGCTCCTTCTGTGGCAGAGAAAACAGTCTGTGTGAGGAGAATATCTCTGGGGTACATTTCTAATACAGCAGAATGGTAAACCTCAAGCATTAGCTAAGGGCCATTTAAATCTATGTACAGTGGATATAAAAAGTCTATACATCCCTGTTAAAATGTCAGGTTTTTCTGTGATGTAAAAAAAATGGCACCACCTGCCTGGAGTTTGCATGTTCTCCCTGTGCCTGCGTGGGTTTCCTCAGGGTACTCTGGTTTCCTCCCACACTCTAAAAAGACATGCTGGTAGGTTAATTGCCTCCTGTCTAAATTGGCCCTAGTATGTGCATGTATGAATGTAAGTTAGACATGTATGTATGAATGTAACCGTCGATTGTACACCCCTTGAGGGTTAGGGACTGATGTGAATGTACAATATATATGTAAAGTGCTGCGTAAATTGACGGCGCTATACAAGTACCTGAAATAATAAAATAAATAAATAAATGAGACAAAAGATAAATCATTTCAGAACTTTTTCCACCTTTAATATAACCTATAAACTGTACAACTCAATTGAACAACAAACTGAAATCTTTTAGGTGGAGGGAAGTAAAAATAAAAAACTAAAATAATCTGGTTGCATAAGTGTTCACACCCTTAAACTAATACTTTGTTGAAGCACCTTTTGATGTGATTTCAGCACTCAGTCTTTTTGGGGATGAGTCTATCAGCATGGCACATCTTGACTTGGCAATATTTGCCCGCTCTTCCTTGCAAAAACTCTCCAAATCTGTCAGATTGTGAGGGCATCTCCTGTGCACAGCCCTCTTCAGATCACCCCACAGATGTTCGATCGGATTCAGGTCTGGGCTCTGGTTGGGCCATTCCAAAACTTTCATCTTCTTCTGGTGAAGCCATTCCTTTGTTGATTTGGATGTATGCTTTGGGTGATTGTCATAATGAAAGATGAAGTTCCTCTTCATGTTCCGCTTTCTAGCAGAAGCCTGAAGGTTTTGTGCCAATATTGACTGGTATTTGGAACTGTTCATAATTCCCTCTACCTTGACTAAGGCCCCAGTTCCAGCTGAAGAAAAACAGCCCCAAAGCATGATGCTGCCACCACCATGCTTCACGGTGGGTATGGTGTTCCTTTGGTAATGTGCAGTGTTGTTTTTGCACCAAACAACTTTTGGAATTATGGCCAAAAAGTTCAACCTTGGTTTCATCAGGCTATAACACATTTTCCCACAAGCTTTTGGGAGACTTCAGATGTGTTTTTGCTAAATTTAGCCAGGCTTGGATGTTTTTTTTAATAAAAAAAAGGTTTCCGTCTTGCCACTCTACCCCGTAGCCCAGACACATAAAGAATACGGGACATTGTTGTCACATGTACCACACAGCCAATACTTGCCAGATATTCCTGCAGCTCCTTTAATGTTGCTGTAGGCCTCTTGGCCGCCTCCCAGACCAATTTTCTTCTCGTCTTTTCACCAATTTTGGAGGGACATCCAGTTCTTGGTAATGTCACTGCTGCGCCATATTTTCTCCACTTGATGGTGACTGTCTTCACTGTGTTCCATGGTATATAATGCCTTGGAAATTCTTTTGTACCCTTCTCCTGACTGATACCTTCTAACAATGAGATCCCTCTGATACTTTGGAGGCTCTCTGCGGACCATGGCTTTTGCTGTAGGATGCGACTAAGAAAATGTCAGGAAAAATCTACTAGAACAACTGAACTTTATTTGGGGTTAATCAGAGGCACTTTAAATGATGGCAGGTGTGTAGTGACTCCTATTTAACATGATTTTGAACGTGATTGCTTAATTCTGAACACAGCTACATCCCCAGTTATAAGAGGGTGTGCACACTTATGCAAACCGCATTATTTTAGTTTTTTTATGTTTACTTCCCCCCTTAAATGATTTCAGTTTGTTTTCCAATTGATTTGCACAGTGTATAGGTCACATTAAAGGTGGAAAAAGTTCTGAAATTATTTATCTTTGTCTAATTTTTTTGCACCACAGAAACCTGACATTTTAACAGGGGTGTGTAGACTTTTTAGATCCACTGTATATGCCTAGAGGTGTATTTTTTATAGTCTTAGGTAAATGTGCTGTCATGCATTAGTGTGTTTCTTTTATGCATTGACGTATTATTGACATGCATTGACTTTGTTTTCAAACCAAAATGCATGTTATATGTGTTTTGATGCATTGCCTCCTATGGGCTTGCCATGACATTAAAACCAGAAAGAAAACAGACATTTATTTTCAAAACACATTACACTGCATTGCCGAGATGGGAATAGCCACTATTTTTATGATGGGTTAGAAACATGCGGCTTAGCGTGTTAAAACTCAACAGTTTAAATGAGTCGGTTGGGGGGGGTTGGGAGGGGACCAATGAAATCACAGATATGCCTAGTTAACATACATTTGTTGAAAGAGAGATACAGGGGCTGCCATTGCTGACTGCCTTCTGAAAATGCTAGTTGCCTGGTTGCTATCCTGACTGGTGGCTGCAATACTTTTTACTTAAATCACAAATACAGAACAAGGAAAGAGATGGTGAGGAATGAAGGCAAGACCTTACCCTAGCTCAACTGCTATATTTCAAATTCATCGGCTGGAAACCGATGCTCTGGCTGGGATGTTCAGGCCCCAATATTATTATTATTATTATTATACAGGATTTATATAGCGCCAACAGTTTGCTCAGCGCTTTACATTATAATGGGAGACAGTACAGTAACACTATGATTCAATACAAGAGGGGTTAGAGGGCCCTGCTCCTTGGAGCTTACAATCTAGGAGGGAGGAGATAGAAGTACAGGAGGAAATAGCTGTGGGGGATGGAGTGGTAGGAAGAGTGGAGGAGATCGGTAATTAGCTGAGGGCGGGGTAGGCTTCCCTGAAGAGTTGGGTTTTCAGAGTGTGCCTAAAGGTGAGCAGAGTAGGTGATAGTCTGAGGGATTGGGGTAGGGAGTTCCAGAAGATGGGGGAAGCCCTGGAGAAGTCCTGGTGACGAGCATGGGAGGAGGAGACCAGGGAACTAGAGAGTAGGAGGTCTTGTGAGGAGCGGAGAGTACGTTTTGGGTGGTATTTGGATACCAGATCGGTGATGTAGTTTGGGGCAGTATTATGAACAGCTTTATAAGTCAATGTTAGCATTTTGAATTTTGGGCAATCGGGAGCCAGTGGTGGGATTGGCAGAGAGGGGTGGCGGATACGGAGCGGTTAGTAAGGTGGATGAGTCTGGCTGGAGCATTCAAGATAGACTGAAGCGGGGATAGCCTGCGGTGAGGTAACCCGATGAGGAGGGAGTTACAGTAGTCAAGTCGTGATATAATAAGGGAGTGAATGTATAGACAATATAAAGCAAATAACACTGGCTACTCTGTATATTTTTCACGATGATTCTTTATTGGCTACATGTAAAATGACACAGCATACAAAGCACTAATGCGTTTTGGCCAGTACAGCCTTCCTCACTATGAGGAAGGCTGCACTGCCGAAACGTGTTAGCACTCTGTACGCTGTGTCATATTACATGTAGCCAATAAAGAATCATCATGAAGAGTATACCGAGTAGCCAGTGTTATTTGCTATAAAGAGATGGTGAAGGTCAGAGATGACTTTATGTACATATCTAGAGGGTCAGTATACCAGCCAGGCAAACCCCATTATCAGGAAAGGACAGCAATGGCAGCCCTAGTGTTTCATTTAGGAAGTTAAGATCATACCTAACCCTTCATATAAATTCAGAGCCATCACTCACCAGATACAGTGACCACAATGTACTGCTGGGGGGCTGGAGTCTGCGGTCCTGTTGTCTGGGTGGTAGGTGTGGGTGGAGCCACTTGTAGTTCTGCCACATACTGCTGAGGTGTGGCCTGGCCTGAAGCAGGTGGAGTCGCCTGGAGTTCTGCCACGTAAGTCTGAGTCGCCATCCTTGTTGGTGAACAGGTCTGCAACCCTACAGGACACTAAGGAGATCAGGAGTTGTTACTGGTCTGCTGCACTTCCATGTTATAATGATATACAATGTGTGTGCGTATATATATATATATATAAATAGGACATGAACATAAACAACCTACAGAGGACTGAATTCAAAGACACCCCGAAAATCATAGTGAAAAAATTATGCAGCAGGCTAGTCCATTTTGCTAAGATTTCATTGTGGCAGCTCAGACTGGTATTCTGTAGTTTGTATGGCCCCCACCTGCTTGTATGCATGCCTGACAACGTCGGGGGGGATGCTCCTAATGAGACGACGGATGGTGTACTGGGGGATTTCCTCCCAGATCTGGACCAGGCTCCCTACGCTTCCCCAGACCATCACTGACAATTGGTCATGCTGAACGATGTTACAGGCAGCATAAGATTTTCCACGGCTTCTCCAGACCCTTTCATGTCTGTCACATGTGCTCAAGGTGAACCTGCTCTCATCTGTGAAAAGCACAGGGTGCCAGTGGTGGACCTGCCAATTCTGGTGTTCAATGGCAAATGCCAATCAAGCTCTATGGAGCACTAGAGGACGTCAGGCCCTCAGGCCACCCTCATAAAGTCTGTTTCTGATTGTTTGGTCAGACATTCACACCAGTGGCCTGCTGGAGGTCATTTTGTAGGGCTCTGACAGTGCTCATATTGTTCCTCCTTGCACAAAGGAGCAGATACTGGTCCTGCTGATGGGTTAAGGACCTTCTACGGCCCTGTCCAGCTCTCCTGCCTGTCTCCTGGAATCTCCTCATGCTCTTCTTGAGACTGTGCTGGGAGACATAGCAAACCTTCTGGCAATGGCACGCATTTTTATACCATCCTGGAGGAATTGGACTGCCTGTGCAACCTCTGTAGGGTCCAGGTATCACCTCATGCTACCAGTAGTGACACTGACCCTAGGCAAATGCAAAACTAGTGAAAAACAGTCAGAAAAGATGAGTAGGGAAAAAAATAACAGTGGCCTCCACCTGTAAAACCATTCCTGTTTTGGGATCATCTCACTGTTGCCCATCAAGTGCACCTGTTGTTAATTTCGTTAACACCAAAGCAGCTGAAACTGATTAACCCCCTCTGCTACTTAACTGACTAGATCAATATCCCAGGAGTTCAAATAACTTGATGCTATACTCTGATTAAAACGTGTGCCTTAAATTTTTTGACTGACACACACACACACACACACACACACACACACACACACACACACACACACACACACACACACACACACACACACACACACACACACACACACACACACACACACACACGCACTTCCTAAAGGTGCTATTGACATGAAATTTTCACCGCATGTCGGTAATAACCCATGCAATCCACACATACAAAGAAAACAAAACAAATCAGTTCAGAAATTAAGTTATTTGTATTAAAATAAAATGACAAGGGGAAAAAGTATTGAACACGCTAACTGAAATTTATTTAATACTTCATACAAAATCCTTTGTTGGTAATGACAGCTTCAAGGCGCCTCCTGTATGGAGAAACTAGTGGCATGCATTGCTCAGGTGTGATTTTGGCCCATTGTTCTACACAAAACAGTCTTCAAATCTTGACGGTTCTGTAGGCCTCTACTATGAACTCTGATTTTGTTTTTTCCATAATTTTTTTGTTGGATTCAAGTCAGGTGATTGGCTGGGCCATTCTAACAGCTTTATTTTCCATCTTTGAAACCAATTAAGTTTCCTTGGCTTTGTGTTTGAGATCATTGTCTTGCTGAAATGTCCCACCCTTGTTTTATCTTCATCATCCTGGTAGATGGCAGCAGATTTTTATCAAGAACGTCTTGGTACATTTTTCCATTCAACCTTCCTTCAATGATACGAAGTTTGCCAGTACCGTATGCTGAAAAACAGCCCCACACCATGATGTTCCCACCTCCAAAGTTCACTGTTGGAATGGTATTTTTGGGGTGATGTGCAGCGCCATTTCACCTCCAAACCTGGTGTGTTATGCCATTCAAAGAGTTCAATTTTGGTCTCATCTGACCAGACTATATTCTCCCAGTATTTCACAGACTTGTCTAAATGTTGTGCAGCAAACTTTAAACGAGCTTCAACATGCTTTTTCTTCAGCAATGGAGTCTTGCGTGGTGAGCGTGCATACAGGCCATGGCAGTTGAGTGCATTACTTATTGTTTTTCTGAAACAATTGAACCTGCTAATTCCAGGTCTTTCTGAAGCTCTCCACAAGTGGTCCTTGGCTCTTGGACAACTCTTCTGATAATTCTATTCACCCCCCTATCAGAAATCTTGTAAGGAGCACCTAGTCATGGCCAGTTTATGGTGAAATGATGTTCTTTCCACTTCCGGGTTATGGCCCCAACAGTATTCAGTGGGAAATTTAGAAGTTTAGAAATACTTTTGTAACCAATGCCATCAGTATGTTTTGCAATAATAAGGTTGAGAGAGCACTTTGCTTTTATCCATCGTAAGATGTTTCTTGTAATGAAACACTTTTTTATAGGCCATCAGTTGAGACTGAACCAGCTAATATTAATTTGCACTGACAAGGGGCAGGGTTGCTTTCTAATTACTGATAGATTTCAGCTGGTGTCCTGGCTTTCCATTGCTTTTTGCACTTCCCTTTCTTCATGTGTTCAATACTTTTTCCCTATGGCGTTCCATTTTATTACACATAACTTAATTTCTGAATGTATTTGTTTTGGTTTCTTTGTATGCATGGATTGCATGGGTTGTTACGAACATGTGGAGAAATTTCATGTCAACAGCACCTTTAGTAGCAGACTGCTTCTATAAATATTTGTGAAAAAATGGGTCGCTCTCAGGAGCTCAGTGAATTCAAGCATGCTACCGTGATAGGTTGCCACCTGTGCAATAGGTCCATCCATGAAATTTCAACAGCAACTCAGCCACCAAGTGGTAGGCCACATGAAATTACAGAGCAGGGTCAGCTCATGCTGAAGGGCACAGTGCGCAGAAGTTGCCAACTATCTGCATTGACAATAGCTAAAGACCTCCAAACTTCATGTGACCTTCAGATTAGCACAGCAGTGCGTAGAGAGCTTCATGGAATGGGTTTCCATGGCCGAGCAGCCAAGTCTTCCATCACCAAGTGCAATGCAAAGCGTCGGATGCCGTGGTGTAAAGCACGCTGCCACTGGACTCTAGAGCAGTGGAGACGTGATCTCTGGAGTGACCAATCATGCTTCTCTGTCTGGCAATCTGATGGACGTGTCTGGGTTTGGCAGCTGCCAAGAGAACGGTACTTGCCTGACAGAACTGTGCCAAGTGTAAAGTTTGGTGGATGGGGGATTATGGTGTGGGGTTGTTTTTCAGGGGTTGGGCTTGGCCCCCTAGTTCCAGTGAAGGAAACTCTTAAGGCGTCAGCATACCAAGACATTTTGGACAATTTCAGGCTCCCAACTTTGTGTGAAGAGTTTGGGGATGGCCCCTTCCTGTTCCAACATGACTGCGCACCAGTGCACAAAGCAAGGTCCATAAAGACACGGATGAGAGAGTTTGGGGTGGAGGAACTTGACTGGCCTGCACAGAGTCCTGACCTCAACCCCATAGAACACCTTTGGGATGAATTAGAGCGGAGACTGTGAGTCAGGTCTCCTCCCCCGACATCAGTGCCTGACCTCACAAATGTGCTTCTGGAAGAATGGTCCAACCTTCCCATAGACACCCTCCTAAACCTTGTGGACGGCCTTCCCAGAAGAGTTGAAGCTGTTATAGCTGCAAAGGGCGGGGCCAACTCAATATTGAACCCTACGGACTAAGACACCATTAAAGTTCATGTGCGTGTAAAGGCAGGCACCCGAATACTTTTGGCAATATAATGTATGTATATATACACTATATTGCCAAAAATATTGGGACGCATCGCACTCACATGCATACATATACTGGGGCCAATTTAATGCATTAAGGTAAAAAACCTGCCTTTAGAACCACTTAAAGGCCCTTTGTACAGAGGAGCCCTCCAGCAGTGTAGTGTGCCTGGCAGGGACAGGTCCAATATCCATGTAGTATAGGACGCTCTGCATATTGGAATTGTGGGGCCCAGTCACACCAGGAACTTGAAGTAACTGCGCATTTTTCCTTGTACCTATGCATGCATCTGATGCGCGTTTCACATGCAGTTGACATGCATTTTTACATCTGCATTTGTCCTGTGAGGTCACTTCCTTCTTTATTTGGGCTTCTATGTGCTGTGTGATGTGCTGCAGTACATTTGCAGTGCGTTTTCATGCATGTATGCGGTGTGGAAAAATGCAGCATGCTGTACTTTTCCGCACTGTGTTGCACTGTGCTGCAATGGTGGGAACTATGCCCATAGGATAGTCTGGATTTTGGACTGTCTACAGTGCCTTGAAAAAGTATTCATACTCCTTAAAATTTTGTCATGTTACAACCAAAAACGTAAATGTATTTTATTGGGATTGGATGTGATAGACCAACACAAAGTGGCACATAATTGTGAAGTGAAAGGGAAATGATAAATGGTTTTCAAGATTTGTTTACAAATAAATCTGTGAAAAGTGTGGCGTACATTTGTATTCAGCCCCCCGGAGTCAATACTTTGTAGGACCCCCTTTTGCTGCAATTACAGCTGCAAGTCTTTTTGGGGATGTCTCTACCAGCTTTGCACATCTAGAGAGGGACATTTCTGCCCATTCTTCTTTGCAGAATAGCTCAAGCTCTGTCAGATTGGATGGAGAGCATCTGTGAACAGCAATTTTCAAGTCTTGCCACAGATTCTCCATTGGATTTAGGTCTGGACTGTGACTGGGCCATTCTAACACATGAATATGCTTTGATCTAAACCATTCCATTGTAGCTCTGGCTTTATGTTTCGGGTCGTTGTCCTGCTGGAAGGTGAACCTCCGCCCCGGTCTCAAGTCTTCTGCAGACTCTAACAGGTTTTTTTCTAAGATTGCCCTGTATTTGGCTACATCCATCCATTCCTCTGTGTGGGTGGTGCGGCTGCAGGTATCGGTGCGGGTCCCGCATTCCTCTGTGTGGGTGGTGCGGCTGCAGGTATCGGTGCGGGTCCCGCATTCCTCTGTGTGGGTGGTGCGGCTGCAGGTATCGGTGCGGGTCTTGCATTCCTCTGTGTGGGTGGTGCGGCTGCAGGTATCTGTGCGGGTCCCGCATTCCTCTGTGTGGGTGGTGCGGCTGCAGGTATCGGTGCGGGTCTTGCATTCCTCTGTGTGGGTGGTGCAGCTGAAGGTATCGGTGCGGGTCCCGCATTCCTCTGTGTCAGTGGTGCGGCTGCAGGTAGGTATCGGTGCGGGTCCCGCATTCCTCTGTGTAGGTGGTGCGGCTGCAGGTATCGGTGCGAGTCCCGCATTCCTCTGTGTGGGTGGTGCGGCTGCACGTATCGGTGCGGGTCTTGCATTCCTCTGTGTGGGTGGTGCGGCTGCACGTATCGGTGCGGGTCTTGCATTCCTCTGTGTGGGTGGTGCGGCTGCAGGTATCGGTGCGTGTCCCGCATTCCTCTGTGTCGGTAGTGCGGCTGCAGGTATCGGTGCGGGTCCCGCATTCCTCTGTGTGGGTGGTGGAGCTGCAGGTATCGGTGCGGGTCCCGCATTCCTCTGTGTGGGTGGTGGAGCTGCAGGTATTGGTGCGGGTCCCGCATTCCTCTGTGTGGGTGGTGCGGCTGCAGGTATCGGTGCGGGTCCCGCATTCCTCTGTGTGGGTGGTGCGGCTGCAGGTATCGGTGCGGGTCCCGCATTCCTCTGTGTAGGTGGTGCGGCTGCAGGTATTGGTGCGGGTCCCGCATTGCTCTGTGTAGGTGGTGCGGCTGCAGGTATTGGTGCGGGCCCTGCATTCCTCTGTGTGGGTGGTGCGGCTGTATTTGTGCGGGTCCCCCATTCCTCTGTGTAGGTGGTGCGGCTGCAGGTATCGGTGCGAGTCCCGCATTCCTCTGTGTGGGTGGTGCGGCTGCACGTATCGGTGCGGGTCTTGCATTCCTCTGTGTGGGTGGTGCGGCTGCAGGTATCGGTGCGTGTCCCGCATTCCTCTGTGTCGGTGGTGCGGCTGCAGGTATTGGTGCGGGTCCCACATTGCTCTGTGTAGGTGGTGCGGCTGCAGGTATTGGTGCGGGCCCTGCATTCCTCTGTGTGGGTGGTGCGGCTGTATTTGTGTGGGTCCCGCATTCCTCTGTGTAGGTGGTGCGGCTGCAGGTATCGGTGCGAGTCCCGCATTCCTCTGTGTGGGTGGTGCGGCTGCATGTATCGGTGCGGGTCTTGCATTCCTCTGTGTGGGTGGTGCGGCTGCATGTATCGGTGCGGGTCTTGCATTCCTCTGTGTGGGTGGTGCGGTTGCAGGTATCGGTGCGTGTCCCGCATTCCTCTGTGTCGGTGGTGCGGCTGCAGGTATCGGTGCGAGTCCCGCATTCCTCTGTGTGGGTGGTGGAGCTGCAGGTATCGGTGCGGGTCCCGCATTCCTCTGTGTGGGTGGTGGAGCTGCAGGTATCGGTGCGGGTCCCGCATTCCTCTATGTGGGTGGTGGAGCTGCAGGTATTGGTGCGGGTCCCGCATTCCTCTGTGTGGGTGGTGAAGCTGCAGGTATCGGTGCGGGTCCCGCATTCCTCTATGTGGGTGGTGGAGCTGCAGGTATCGGTGCGGGTCCCGCATTCCTCTGTGTGGGTGGTGCGGCTGCAGGTATCGGTGCGGGTCCCGCATTCCTCTGTGTAGGTGGTACGGCTGCAGGTATTGGTGCGGGTCCCGCATTGCTCTGTGTAGGTGGTGCGGCTGCAGGTATTGGTGCGGGCCCTGCATTCCTCTGTGTGGGTGGTGCGGCTGTATTTGTGCGGGTCCCCCATTCCTCTATGTCGGTGGTGCGGCTGCAGGTATTGGTGCGGATCCCGCATTCCTCTGTGTGGGTGGTGCAGCTGCAGGTATTGGTGCGGGTCTCGCATTCCTCTGTGTAGGTGGTGTGGCTGCAGGTATTGGTGCGGATCCCGCATTCCTCTGTGTGGGTGGTGCAGCTGCAGGTATTGGTGCGGATCCCGCATTCCTCTGTGTGGGTGGTGCAGCTGCAGGTATTGGTGCGGGTCCCGCATTCCTCTGTGTAGGTGGTGTGGCTGCAGGTATTGGTGCGGATCCCGCATTCCTCTGTGTGGGTGGTGCGGCTGTATTTGTGTGGGTCCCGCAGCGGCACCACCCGCACAGATGTTAACCAAGCCTTAATGGTTTTGAAAATCAGTTACATTCCTGGCAGGCAGGGACTGCTGTCACATTTGCTTGTTTCCCCAACTGTCACATGTCTGGAGTCATGACTGGTCACATGTGCAGCACCATGGCAGTTGTAAATCAGTCAGAGACTAATGCAGGCCATAGACGGGTCAAAAACCGGCCGTTTAAAAAAAAAAAAAATCGGTCAATAAGCCGACGTTACCACCAATGGTAAAAAAAAAAGAAAAATTGTCCGATTTTCGTCCCATCTACGGCCGGCATTTAATGACTTCTGTCCCTGCAGAGAGCTCCGCTATTATATTTGACATGAAAAAGTCTTGCGGTTGCAACAATGTATCCATTTGTATCCATTACAGATACAGATGTTTTTATTCGGATACAAATAGATACATTGTTGCAACCGCAATACTTTTTCATGTCAAATATAATAGCGGACTGGAATTCTTATTCTTTTTCTTCTTCTTGCAGCTCACGGCTCATGCGCAGATTTTTTATCGGTAAAAAAAATCGGCCAATTTGCCCATCATTGCCGCGAAAATCAGACGATTTTTTTCCAACTTTACCGATTAAAAAACAACGAAAAGTGCCAAAATCCCCAAAAACGGCCGACCAATTAACCCACTAACGGTGCAAAAATTGTCCAAAGGTTTTCGATCCGTCTATGGCCGGCATAAGATGGCAGCTTCCTTGGCTGCAGAGGTCAGGAGGGTGTAGTTCCGCTGTCATACTTCTACAGACGGACAGAATTCAGTTGATACAGAAAACATTTTGTGGAATGGAAATGATTTCCGATTGTAAAGATCAGCAATCAGTCATGAAGGGAGGCATCCAATCAGGGCTCCCCAATGCGATCTGTTTGCTGCCTTTGCCCTGACGTGAGAACCGATGATGCAGACGTGGGGATGTCAGGCTGGAAGCTGTGTGTTTATCACGTGGCCTCTGACCCCTCCCCACAGCACAGGCCAGGCTATAGTTAGTAAGGTCACTGGTCAGGTTTCTGTCACGTGCCTATGCTCAGCCTGTGTCTGAGGGGAGTGTCCTGACGTCCGCTCTCATTGGCTATCGCTGCACATTCTTACATAACTCCAGACCAGTCATGAGTTCCAGCTAGAAGTCATTTCGTTTGCAGTCACACTTCATACTCTGATGGTTTCGCCCAATCCCCCTACTTTCGGCTCCTGTTTGGTAAGACCCGCCTGCCCTAGAGGCCTCAGCCAATCCACAGGTGGAACAAGCCGTAACTACGCCCAGCCCTTCTCAGGTTTCCATGGCGACGCGCGGCCCTGCACCTCTCCCGCTCTCAGCAGGCGCCGCCATTTTAAAAAAGGGGAGGGGTGACAGCACCGTTTTGACGTCGTCATAACGACCGAATGCCGCCCGGTTCCCCCATGTAGTCGGCGCGGTTCGGAGCCCTTACCTAGCAGCGCTTCCCCCTGTGGCGGCGCCGTGTCTGGTCAGTCAGCGCGAGGTTGGGGCTTCACTCCAAGGCTGGACCGCTGCGTGTGCCCGAGGTGGGGAGACACCGGCCCCGCCCTGCCGGCGATGAAAACCGCCGCCCGGTGCGGCGGGGGACCGGGCCCGGTGGCGCCGGGGGTTGTTGTTGTTGATTCCTGTTGCCGGGGTTCTTGTCGCCACGACTACCGTGGCTATGGCCGCTCCGTCCCTCACCCGGGCAACTGTTGCTAACGTCCCTCCCCCTTCTTCCTTGTCGTCAACGCAGGCAAGGCGACTGAGTCGCTGGATTGGCTGAGGCCCGCGTCAATCAAAGAGTTCGGGGCGGTGATTAGGAAAAGCGAACGTCACTTAGTGGGCGTAGAGCACTTCGGCTAGGCGTGCTATGATTGGTGTAGCGCCTGTCAGTTAGCCAAAGGCCTTAAATGATTGGGTGGATGTAGCGTAGGCCCGGTTCCTAGTGTCTGCATAGCAACGGTTGCCACCCTGCGAGTTGTTGATAGGCCTGTGCTGGATTCCTGTCACTATGTGACTGGGCGAGAACAGCGGCCTAGCCCTGAGCGCAGTGCGCAGGCGTAAGAGATAGGGGGCCTCTGGGAGTTGTAGTTCGTACTGTCCATGTAGTCTGTGTGAAGTTTGTAGTCCCTGTACATCCATGTGTCTGGAGGAAGAACGAGGGCTGCTTCAGCTCTCCTATTCCTCACCATAGAAGTTGTACCATTGGTATCATTTCTTTTTTTCAATTATTAATATCAATAATAGGAAACTTTTTTTTCCCTTCAACCCCTTCCCTGTCAGATATCTGAATATTTTGCACACGTTTAAAAAAAAAAAATAATAATTTTTATGCCTGAAGATTTATGTAATCTCCCCCAAAACGTTATACATGTTCTGAAAGCAGACACCCTGGAGAATAAAATAGTGGTAGTTCCAATTTTTTTATGTAACATATATTAGGTAACGAAAATAGAAGTAAAAAATACACTCAAATTTATTTTAGGGCATAAAATCGCAATATAGTACCTAATGTTGGGTAAAATATAAAAGCAGATAGTTGCACCGACTAAACGGATACCTAATATGTCAAGAGTTAACATTGCATGTGCCCCTGAAACGGCAACAAACTTCGGTACCCTATATTTTCAATAGGCAACCCCTGACATAGGCGCCCCTTGATTTACATTTGTTAGGGGGGGGGGCGCTTAAAAAAATTTGGAAGAAGATTTTATGTTTTTGGATGGAACTTAATTTTAATTTTTTCAGAGATGCACGAGTTATATCACCTGATACCTGGGACGTGCAGTTCCAGGCTTCGGGCAGGTGGCTTTATTTTACATTTAGCCCTGCTGTGGGCAAGCAGCCACTTTAGCCTGAAATCGCAATGTCATTCCAGTTTCTGTTTGATTTCAGTACAGGAGTGATTTAGCCGTCTCTCCACACCTGTCACGATCGCTGTGTCAGACCCCAGCCCTTTTCACCAAACTCGTGACCAAAGGACTAGCCGATCTAAAACTGCGATGTCATGTGCATAACAATGCCACACCCAGCACCGCGATTTTCCAGCTAATTGGACCACAATCCATGTATCGGCAGCCTGAGCGATTGTTACTGGGTCAGGTTAACTACACACAATTAACCCTTCACACTGCCATCGCCTCCTTTTTCTACAGAGAAAGAGGAAACTTGGCAATATCAGCTAAAACACTACAATGGTTGAGATAATCGTCTGCATAACACGGTCACCGCAGGCCGATTATGCAGAGAGTTAAACAAACACAGTAGCATTCTCTGTAGAGGAAGGAATTCGTAAATTGCAATACAGAGCTATAGAAACTGTTCAACACTTTCAGAAGGAATGATTTTTTACTAAAAGGTCAAATGGGTGCAATAAAAATATTTACAGAAAAAGATGTAACTAAGATATATATATATATATATATATATATATATATATATATATATATCATACAGGGACCAACAGCACAGCAAAGAGATATCAGAGAGAGGTGAAAGGGTTAAGGTACTTGCCAAAGTCCTGGGTTAGCAGATACAAGTTTCAGAGCAAAAGGGCATGGTTCCCCCCAGGTGGTACTGATGTTAAAATGGGAGACGTCTTCAACTCACACTCTTAGGCCTGACAGCCTATTTTGTAGTCCCCAGCAGGGGGTGTCTCTGAAGTCAAGGACCAATACCCCGTTTAGCGCGTGTAGGTATGGGTGGATACCTCAACGAGAGCCAAAATCTCCCGTAACTCATATTTTGGCCCATAACTTTCCAGCTGCACAAGTGACATTCCACCCGCGGGTAGATTACTATGCAGACACATCTGAGGATTGATTAGATATGAATTATGAAATTATACACTGTACGGTTCACGAGATCTACTTTTCTGTTTTCCTGTGTATCCGACACAATGCGAGTGACCTATCAAACTATCAAACTGTTCGCTTTTTTGTGGCCAATCTGACGATAGGTCCGGTTTTTATGTGAGTCACTCATATTCCAAGATATGAGACATAGGGGAGAAATGGATTTTGAAAAGTGTTTATCTGATTCTGTCACCTACGCTGAGTTAGGTTTATTAGGTAGGAATCTCTTTCAACTCCTGGGAAAGCTTGCCTTATCTCTTACGAGGTGTTACAATTTGCAGGTTCCCCAGAGATCTCAGAAGATTTGGTGAGTAGGCCTGTTGGACTGAACACCATGAACTGCTGGTCTCGGTACACCTTTATGGCCGGTCCGCAGATCTTGTCAAAGAAAGAACACTGTGGGACTGAGCATTGACGGCATCTGCTAGGTGGACTGTCATGCTTGTGCGCTCTTTTTCCCGCCATACAGCATAGAAGAGGTATCTCCCCGCTGCTGTTCCTGCATGCAAAGAGCCACGTGGAACTTAGATCTTTGATATGTCTCTGCTGCCCACCTACAGGGACTTTGGTCACCTCTGGCCGTTGGACCCTTACCTGCTATGAGCGGTTTGGAGTTTGTGGGTTGAGTCCTTGCCTCTTACCTTGAGTGTATACAATGCCTTACTGCCACATGGTCGCAACATGTCTGATTTTAGACATGAGGGGGCAATCCTGTTGTACTGGGTGCCCCCAGATTACCCTGTGCCCCTAAAGTCGGTTCCCTCCTTGAAGTCTTGGTTGGCTCCACTGGGTGTGGCTGGGCCCCTCTCCCTTCAGGTTTTTTACTATAGTCATAAAAGACTTTATGACCCAAATTACTGTTATTTGCTGACAGTGATTGCAGAGGCCAGAAGCACACTTCCGTGCAAGTTCTTTATCCTATTTTTCTTCGTGAATACCAAGACTGTGTCTGCAAAGATTCTGTTTGATTTTGAGTCTCTCCAGTCCTTGAATGATATGCTTACACATTAGGTATTGCAGTCTACTGCTAAAACTCCCAAGTTAAAGGAGACTGTTTTGGCTCTTATTGTGCACCAGTCTGAAATTAGAGGA